GGTCGCCCACATCGACACTATTTAGATCATTTAAGAGCCAGCAGGGCCAACTCAGGCTGAAAATAAAAAGGGATACAACATCCAATAAGAAAGACTGAGTGAGATACTCCATAAAAATTCTCCCCATTAGCGAATCGAACTCGGGTCTTCTGAGAGTGACGGCACCACAGGCGCCGGTCGGAACGAATGACTGTCATTTGTTTCCTTTCATTTCTTCCATTGTTGAAGTTTTGCGGATCAACGTCTGGGTGCAGTGGTTAGTAGCTTCGTCGTCGCAAAAACAAGACGAGTTCGAATCCTGCGTGGGGAGAATCTATCAAGTATCTCCACTTTTCTGCTTTGGCGTTTCCCTGCCAGCCTGGGTTGGCCCTGATGGACAGAGTCGAAGTGCACTTCCTAAATGATCTAAATTGTGACGACGTGGGGACTTAAATATCTACATTAAAAATTGTTATGGGTTAGATAATTTACGAAGACTTTTTTTTTCCCAGTTCAATGCCGTCGTCATCTTCCAGCCCCATTATCTCCTTTTTACTCTTTCTCCTTCTTCACCCATGGTCACCTTCTCCCTTTTCACGACTCTGTTCTCAACTTCTTTCCCCGTAGTAACCCAACGGGTGTTTCCATCGTTATCCCCCCCCCCCCTCCCCCCTCTTCTCTCTCCCCCCTCCTCTATCTCTGACATGATAAAGAAAATCGACCTCAAGCGAGAGGCTATCTAAAAAGAAAACTAGACCAAAATAAATATCCTTTTTTAAAATTCAGCACCCCAAATTAGTTTTTAAAAAACAAAAAACAAACAACAACTGGTTTTAAAGCCTGAAGCAAATTCCTTGTACACCAGTGTTATTACGCAAAGACATCTGCGTGATTCTGATGTGGGGAAGTTAGGTCACTGGGTATCTCCGTCTTTAGTTTTTGTACTTTTAGTAGAGGTTTTACGACGCTCGCAACCGCATACGGTCATATGAGCGCCAGAAGATTAGAGATGTTACAAAAGAGTAACAGAACATTTAAAAAAGAGAAAAAAAGGGTAGAAAAGGAGATAGATTTGAATAGGAAAGAAGAAGCCAACCACCCACTATCTCCGTCTGTCTGCTGGACCATTGTAAGGGACGAGTGGACCTGACAGACAAAGTTGAAGCAGCCCTGAGCTCGTAGTTAGTACCGATGCATAAATAACGAAAAAGTCAAACAAACAAAAATCTCATTATAGAGATAAACAACCTACTTAACAATAGGAGAAACCTGTAAAGACGGACTCTGTAACGTGTTCAGTAAGGGTGCAATGCACATGTTTTGTGGACGTTGACAACACTAATAGATCCCAGACCTTTCTTACACTTCTAATCTCCATCCTTTCAGTGGTTTATGCTGTATTGTTACTTTCCCTGAGATCTAGTTACTTCATTGTTACGACGACCATTTCTTTCTACATTTGTTTCTCTCAAGTGCCAGGTCTTCCTAGTTTAGTTTTAGTTTTGGTAAGTTTTACGCACTTGCAACACAATCAGGTCATATATGTATATATATATATATATATATATATATATATATATATATATATATATATATATATATATATATATATATATATATATATATATATAAAATAAGCTGCCGGAGAGAACCGTACCCGTGGTTTTATGCACCCCGCATAATTTAGCTAAATTTGATTATTTATTAATTTTCTTTTTGGCATGATTTCGGATTATTTTCCTTTATCCTTCTTTGTTAAAATTAACAGAGAAGGAACAAACCACACCAGAACACCCACCAACCACCTGTGCCAGGTCTGGAACAGACATTGGCGGAACATGATACCATTCAGTCCTGAATTGGTCATCTTCAGAAATGTTGCAGTATCTTATTTAAGTCACATCAGAATTAACAATGTCTATTATACTACAGTGGAACCTGCTCTAACCGCTACCTGTTCAAGACAATCACCTGTCTGTACAAATGACCATGCGCACTGTCCGAGACGACCACCTGTCTTAGATAACCACTTTTCTCCTTGAAAATGGATGGCTGTCTTGGACAATTTTAAGTGTATCTTGCTCTTGAGCTTCCTCTACCTCTTTTTCATTTATCTTTCTATCCATGCAAGACTTTCAAGACCCCTATAGCGATATATTGGCTTTATGTAGTTCAGACTCATTTGTTTGATTCTCCTATCATAAAAACTTCAGCAGTTTTCTTATAAACCACATTTTCTCTGCTTCCAAATTTGACCTCTATTTCCTTACAAATGAATATTATATCAGTTTCATTAATCTGTCCTCAGAGAAAGTTGCATTTGAAAATATCAAAAGTTGCAAAAAGTTGCAAAAAAAAAAAAAAATCAGCAAAAGTTGCAAGAAAAGTTGCAAGACGTGTATAGCTAAAATGTCATGGAATTATTGGAATACATTGTTGCTCACTGCAATCAAAGTAACCAACGCGGGTTTTGTTAGATCAAAATCAAAAGTTAAATGTGAATTGCTACCGTACCAAAAAACAAACAAAAACAAAACTCAACTGCATGGAGGTTGCATATATTGTACATGTGTCAGTGTCAGGTCCTTAAACTCAAACTCCCCTGACGTTGGGCAGGTGTGACCAGCGTGTTTTGGGGCTGTTCAAATATAATCGTACACCTTTTTGGGGATTTTTGCCCCCCCTCCCTTTACACTTTTCTAACATTTCCTCCTCCCCCCCCAAATTTTTTTTCCTTTTAAATTTTAAATCCCGTAATACTAATATAATGTATATTCGCTAATAATAACATTATACATTTATATTGCGCAAATCTGTGTTACAATCATTGGTCTATGCGCTTTACTTTTACACAATAGTATAGTATTCATGGAAAACATGCATACACAGATGTTACATAATAATTAAATATGGTATAAGCGGAACTTTTTCGGAAAAACTTGTTGTAAGTGAATAGCATAGTTTACTCTTTTTTTATGTCATCTTTTGTTTTAAAAAATAAATTATATTGTCATAAATTATTTTCCTTGTTATTTTTTTCACCTTACAAAAGTGTAATGCATTGGTTCAGGACCCCCCCCCCCCCCCCCCTTTTCTTACACTTTTCTTTTACAGGAGTCAAGACACGCCCCCGCCCTTTTTAGGCCTTTTCCAGGCGTAAGATTATATCAGAACGACCCCTTTCGGGGTTTTCTGGATGAATCGATCCATGTCTAGATCTACGACCCTCCTGGCCTAAGATTTAAAGTCTTTCACAAATGTTTATACTAGATCTAGATCTATCTATCTGGTGCTACGGAACCAAGCAAACTAAGTAATCAGACGATCGTGTCTACAATTGAGTTTACTTTATACTATAGATATCTAGATCTAGAGTTTAGATTTAGCTAGATCTAGACGAAGTAGAAGATGATTCAGTCCAAACAGGACTATTGGGAAGGTCAGGTCGGGACGGGTCGGTTTGCTCGACAGACTGAAGGCGCAAAGTGACTATCGTGGCACAAATCGATCGCGCCCGACTCGTTGCCTCAAAAACGATCGCGTTGTTTTCAGGCAACGAGTCGGGCAATCATCCTGACCCGATCTCATCCACAACGGGCACTCGGGTACCCCGTAGTACAAAGGAAGTGGTAGATATAATTTCAGGTACAAATTGTCCCCCTTCGCGTCGTTATTTTTAGTTGTGGAAGAAAATTTCGGTTATATTTACCGAAATTAAAAGATTATTTTTCCAACTTTTGCAGAAAATTGCCTAAAATTCGCGAATTCACGAAAATGGCAAAAGTTGCGCTGAGACCAAAAGTTGCGTGCGCGACTTGCGGGTTGCGCGCGCGAATTTCTCTGAGGACAGATTAATGTCATGTTGAGGGTCTGCTCAAGTGACAAAACTGAAAAAAGGTGGACAAGGAGAAACACGTGAAGCATCAACTACTCTCTGCCTTGTGTGCCTGACAATACGATACAGGGAAACAGTAAGTAGGTATTAGTTAGTCTATCACCATTGCATTGAAACTGGATCTATCATATTTAACAAATTCTACAATTACATTCCAAAAACGACACGACTAAGCATGTCTTCAAAGCAAATGCAATGACACAGTTCAGGAAAAGAGGCACTTTGGATACCATCATAAGAAGCCATTTCCATTCTAGGTCATCATCATCATCCGGTGCCTTGCCGACTGGCGTGGGCGATCACGGACCTCCACTTCACCCTGTCCTTCGCTGCAGCAATGGTGTCTGTTGTTCTTGCTGCTCCCAACCATGTTGTCATCTTGTCCAGTATCTTTTCCCTCTGTCTGCCTCTGCCTCTCTTTCCATCAAACTTTCCTGTTGTGACAATATTCTCTAATGCTTCTTTCCGCATTGTGTGTCCGAAGAAATTTGCCTGTCGTTTTCTTATATTCGTGATACCGGTAAGTTGTTTTCTATAATTTTCTTCAACCAGGACTTCTTCATTTGTTTTTCTAGCTGTCCATGGGATACGTAGCATGCGTCTTATGAACCACAACTCTGTCGCTACAATTGTTCTTTCCAGCTGTTTATTGATTGTCCACGCTTCGAACCCGTATAATAGGATTGGCTCAATGTAACTTTTCAGTACTCTTTTCCTCGTTTCCAGTGACAGATTGATGTTTGTTAGTATCTGTTTCATCTTGTGGAAGGTTGCTTTCGCTTGGCAAATGCGGCTTTTAATTTCGGTGTGACATCTACCATCCGATGATATAATGGTCCCAAAATATTTAAAATGTTGTAGGCTACTTGCTTGAGGGTGGTATCGTTGACTTTGGTATTGCATGTTGGGATTGGAGTTTTTCTGCTTATCACCATCGTTTCGGTTTTCTTGATGTTTAGGCTTAAGCCCATGTTGTCACTCTCTTGTACGATGACATTTAATAGATTCTGCAGGTGTTCTTCATCTTCTGCTATAAGGACTGTGTCATCTGCATATCTTAGATTGTTTATATTATGTCCCCCTATCGAGATACCAGGCATTTCTTCTATGTGTCTCATGATGTTTTCACTATACAGGGAGAACAAGTCTGGAGAAAGTACACATCCCTGTCTGACTCCTCTTTTAATCTGTATGTATTCGCTGATGTCATTTTCTATTCTCAATGCAGCAGTTTGATCCCAGTACATGTTTTTCATAATCCTTAAGTCTTTCCCGTCGATATTAAGAACTTCCAGCATGTCGATGATCTTGTCGTGCCTAACTTTGTCGAATGCCTTGGTGTAGTCTATAAAACATAAATGAAGATCTTTCTGAACTTCTAGGGCACGTTCTATCATTGTTCTAATGACATATAAGGCATTTACAGTGCCTTTACCTTCAATAAATCCACACTGTTCTTGGGCTATTTCTGGGAGAATTTTACTTCGTATTCTCAACATAATTATTCTAAGTAATATTTTTGTTATGTGGCTCATGAGGCTGATGGTACGATGCGTTTCACATTCGTTTGCATTAGATTTCTTTGGTAAAGCTATGAACATAGATTTTGACAAGTCTGATGGAATATGTCCAGTGGCATATATGTTGTAAAGAAGTTTTGTCAGTGTGGTGATTCCAAAGTCTTCCGAAGCTTTAAGGGGGTGTAACTATGGTCAACACCCAAATGCTGTAGTTTTTGGTCCAATGCTTGCTTTTCTGCATCAAAGGGGGTGACATCGTACAAAAAAAGGTTACCAAGCAAAAAATTCAAGATTTTAGCCATAATAATCTCGAGCCATCAAAAATAAAGGATTGATTCAGCATTTTTAAAACCAATTTTATATTTTGTCAATCATCAACACTCATCAAGACAAAAGCCTAATATTTGGCATGGCGATTACTGTTGGTAGGTAGAACAACCTTACAGAGCCAAATTTGAATTTTCTGTACTGACTTGTGAGCATTACAGTCCTAGTTATGCACTACATTCAGGTCTCCAATGTTTTAAGATTTTGTAAAATAAAAAAGGCCTAAAACTCCAAATGTGTACCATAAGCAGCAAAAATGCTACTGTAAGGTTATAGAGAAATGTGTATAAAAGATTGTGTTCAAATGTGAAACAATTCTGACAGTAACTTTCTGAGATCTACTCAAAATAATTTTGCAACCTGGTCAGATAAACAATTCTGAGAAAACTACAAAGAGAGATAATTTTTGGTGAAGATTTTCCTACATTGCTACCTCTCTTAAATGCATTTTCCAGGTATTTCTAAGTTTGATTAAGGAATTAGGCTTCTAAAGATGAATCCTTGATATTGATATCTATTAAGATACTCCAAAATCCGAAAACTGATATTTTTTCAAAATTTTTACTGATCTGACCAGTGGATCCCCTTAATCATCTCAGTGGTAATGTTGTCCGGTCCTGCAGCTTTCCCATTCTTCATCTTTCGTAGTGCCTTGAAAACTTCTTCTTTCATGATTGGTGGTCCCTCGTAGTTATTTTCCACTCTTCTTTGTTCATCTCTTTTGTCATTGTACAGGTCACCGATATATTCTGTTCAACGTTCTAGTATCTTGTCTTTGTCCATTATGATATTCCCATCTTTTGATTTGAGGCATCCTGTTGATCCACGTGTTCTTGTATGGCACACCTCTTTAATTTTTCTGTGTAGATTTTTTGAGTTCGCATTGGAATGATTTTCCATTTCCTCACATTTTTCTTTTAACCAGGTCTCTTTTGCTAGATTACATTTGTGTCTGATTTCTTTATGAAGATTCACATATTTTTCCATATTGTTTTTGTTTGTTCTTCGTTCCTCCATGAGATTAAGAATTTCTTCAGTCATCCATTTCTTCTTTGCTTTTGTTGTCCTTTCTGGTATGGCGTCTTTTGCAGCCTCATTTATAGATGTTTTAAGCTGTTCCCATTGTTTTTCTAAGTCTTGTATTTCTTCTAAGGGCCCGAATTTGTTTTGTACATTTATTCTGAATTTATCTTGCATTTCTTTGTTTGACTGTAGTAATGCCATGTTTAGTTTCATATTCTTGTTCTTGCTCATGTGTGTTTTTTTCAATCTGATTCTAAATTTTCCCACTACGGGTACATGGTCACTGTAACAGTCTGCACCTGGCCGCGTTTTGACATTTAGCATCCCGTTTTTGTATCTTTTCTTGATCATGATATAGTCGATCTGGTTGCGAGCGCTGTCTCCAGGACTCTTCCAGGTCCATATCTTCTTGGTGGTTGTTCATACCAAGTGTTTCCAATATATATATAATCATGTCATTCAGGATGGCCTATTCTATCAGTTTTTCTCCTCTTTCATTTCTGGTTCCCAGTCCATATGGACCCACTGTCTTCATGTCTTGTTGCTCCCACTTTTGCATTAAAATCACCCATGACTATGACAATATCTTGTGCTTTACAATGTGTCTTTGCTTGATTTATTTCATCATAAAATTTCACTATTTCTTCTTCTGTGCTTTCTGAGGTAGGCGCATACGCTTGGATGATGGTTGTATCGAATGGTGATCCTTTCAGTCTCACCATCATAACTCTGTCTGCTATAGTCAGGTACCCCTTAAGTGTCTTCGATGTTGTCATGTCCATGATGACTGCTACTCCTCTTTCATGTTTGTCGCCTCCTGAGTAAATGATGTTATAGTTGTCGGACAGTATTCTGCCAGCTCCTGTCCATCGTACTTCACATAAACCCATGATGTTAACATTCATTCTCTTCATTTCTTTCTTGATGTTGTCCAGTTTTCCTTTCTCTAGCATTGTTCTCACATTCCAGGTTGCTAGATTTCTTGTTTGATTTTTCCTTTTGTGAGCAGTATCTTGATGACGATCTGGTGTCACCTGCTGTGCATGACTGACCCTACCGGACGAGGCAGTTCTTTCAGAACTCCCCTTTACGTCGTTATAATTATTTATTGAAGTAAGATCCATGATGTTCTAGGGAAGGAATACAGCAGTAGTTTCCCCTTGCCTTCTGCTGGATTTTTGTACGGTTTACTCCGCTAGCCTTTGCCCAAAAGGACAAACCCACAAGGCAGTGGGGGCAGGTGGCAGGTTTCGGCGCCTCCCTCTCGCCTGACAGTCTCTTTACTGAGCACATGAGGTATTTTATAGAGACAGGATTGCCACCACCCTGTCCCACCTCGCTCTCCAAAACTGTCGCCAGTTGGTCCGCGACTGCTTATTGGTTATTTGCAGCTACCCTACAAAATGTACGCCATTCCACTATCCGCCACCTGTGGATGCGGTGGGTCGGGGACCATTCTAGGTAGCACTGACAAAAACGTGGGCCCATCTGTGGATAGATCTAAAACACTTTACCCAAATGTCTTTTTCCAGGCAAAGGTGGGTAAGATGTTTTCCACCGCTTCCATATTTTCACATATACGACAAAAGCCCTTCGTCTTAGATTCTTTGAGAGGTTTTATGGCACTTGCAACTACATAAGGTCATATGAGCGCCAGAAGATTAGAGGTGTTACAAGAGAGTAACAAACATAAAAAAGAAGAGAAGAAGCAAACCTCACCAGATCACCCGTCAACTTCCCACATTAATAGAGAGTAATTATACTCAAACAAAAGAAGGAGGTATACAGAGGATAGATCTTAGGAAAGAAGGAGCAAATGATACCAGAGGATCCATCAACCACCCGCATCAAGTAGGTTAACAGAAAAACACTTAGAACTGTTCCCAAAAAGAATAGTCGGAGTACTTATTTATTTGCGAAGACTGGCCTATTTCATTCTCGACATAAAGGCATATCAAGGTATCATAACGTAACAATCGTTACAGTAACACAAACACTTGAGAAGCTCACAGAAAAAAGCTTACACACCGGTAACACTCATTCAGGTTAAGGACAGTCTCCAACTACAACGGTCAGCATTATGCAAATAATATACTTGTCAGAATACCATTCAGAAAGAAAATTAAACAATTAACTGAAATATACAAGGTGTCTCTGTCATTGAGAAATTTGCGGACTATAAAAACAACAATAATCTCATCACATAAATAACAATCATGTCCAACTCTTTATGGATTTGTTCAATGGACACTTCAGAAATCTTTCTAAACTCCACAAAAAAATTTAGACAAAAATCCTTGTTTTCTTTATTAACATGCAATCTTATAAAATAACAAAGCAATCTGTCTGTGATAACTTAACATTAAAATGAATATTTCTGTTGTTCATCAGTCTTTGATTTTTAAGATGCTGCGCTTTTCTAGTCTTTCCATTTCATTCAGTACAGAAGCTACATGAAAACGAAGATCTTGAAACTTTGCAACAGACATCTGGGGATAGATAGTGAAAAAAGGAGATGAAACATATGCGAGTTTCTTTTTATGAAAGCTAACAACAAAGAAAATTCAAATCGCACAGCAGATAACTAAATTAACTAATCCATTTCTATGAAATTACAGTGGAAACCTGATATAGCAGGGATGGTGGGACCAGAGAAAAAGACCTGTTACATCAGATCCCTGTTAAATCAGAAAAGCAAAGGAAGTCAGCATTTGTGGACTAAACCAGTTGTATTTATTCAAGGGCAGTTTCCAATGGCCTGCGCATGACACATTACGCATGTGTGAAGCAAGGCTTAGGGCTAGATCGAAGTCTACAGCACACTGCAGCCCTCTCTCGCTTGACCCACTGTGTGTTTCTGTCCCTCTCTCACTTACTTTTTACACATTGTTAAGGAGCCTTTGTCCCTGCTATAAACGATTGGGCTCAGGTGAGGCCCTGTTATTGCCGAAAACTTTTAACAGAGATAAAGAGTAAGAAAAAAACAGGGATTTAAAAAATAATTATTAGCCTACCAGATCCCTGTCCTTACCAAGCCTGTTATATATAATATGGTTTCCACTGTATAACTGAATTAAATTATGGCTGAGATATTGATGGCCATGGTGTACCATTTGACATATATCTGATGTGTGCACACATGTGTGAGTGTGTGTCTCTGTATGACCTATCATCCAGTCATTCACCACTGACATATGTCAAAGTACAAGGTTTTCAGGAGAAGCAAAAAAATGCTTCAGTTTACTCAGAACATTGTCTCAAACAAAATGTTTAATTCGTCTATATCCATTACTATTTTAAGAAGATGAATGAGACTAGAAAAAATAAATGTGGCTCATCAAACTGTAAAACATTAGGCCGTATGGTGTGTGAAATATGACCTAGCTGGTCTGAGAGACAAATGACTTGTAAGCAGAAAGATGGAGATGCTAGATAAAGCAACTTCTCCAAGTGAGAATCAAACCCCCATCTTTAGAGTGAAATGAGAAAAAACTCATTATTAAACTACAGACACACAAGAACACTCTCTTCAATGCTCTCAGACTCTATACCATCGGAGTGAACAATTTCATATATAGAAGAAAATTCCGAACAAACATAAGCCTCCCCTTGAGCTAACTAACCTCAAAATTCCGTATGCTGCCATCAGAGAGAGTCATATCCATGGTCACACCTCTTGCCAGAACTCTGTTCAACACACTGAAAAGGAAATGGCAAAAGAGTTTCTGAAATTATCATTTCAAAATTTGTCAAATCAAACTTTCCTAAAAAGCTGCAAAACAAAACTTAAATAAAAAGGGCAATAGCAAAGTTGTTCAATTCTTAAAGGACATATTATGTTGACCCAATACAGACCTTCGTTAGTTTTAAACTTCATAGAAGTCAGAAGACATGCTTTTAGGTCACACAATGATTAAAGTATTGAGAGTAAATAAGAGGACAACACAGACAGCTACACTCCAAATACTTCTGAATCTGTAAATACAGGCATTGCAGTGAAACTCTAACATAACGAAGTTGTAGCGCCTGACCTTCGATTTAGTTGAATCTAAGTGTTCGTTATAGCAATGTGAGCAATAAGTTGCATCACAAGGTAGGGCTTAGCATTATGGCAACATCTGTTTCAACAGACCAGCAAGTAATCCATTACATAGATTTATATATATATCTGAAACGTTTGTGCCTTTACCCCCCCCCCCCCCCATATCCCTTCAGACACACACACTAACAGTTCACCATCCCCTCCATGACTCAGACATACACACACCAGAAGCTTAACAGACACCCCATTGACCTCTCTTGACCCTGACACACACTAAGACCCGTCATGTCTTACATGCGTGTCAACGCACATGTTGGTGTAAAAAAAGAATGCTTCTGATCGGATGCATACGATGTACACAATAGGCTAAGCTAAGTGTGTAATGATCCACAGTAGTGCGATCCATTGTCTCTTGTAATAGAATAATACGGTTTGTTGTGGTTTCTTTGAATCAAAGTTTGCTTATTTTTGTGTTCGTTGAATCCTAGTTTTTTGGTTGATTTTAATTAAAATTTCAAAAAATCAGGGAATCTGTCTCCTTTCATTGAATCCGAGTTTCACTGTATTTTAGTGCTACCAACTCCCAGCAGTGCCCTGGTGCTCCACCTAGCCCAAACCAATTGCGCCCAAAGAGGTCAAAAGGTCAGCATGGAGATTTCACCAGACAGAGTCGCCATGAACATGTAATGCTGTAATTTTAAGCTTTGCTTACCCCGCGACTACGCCTTAACTTCAACATCAATCCAAAAGTTTTGAATAAGCATCATTTGATATACCCTTGAAAGCAATTGTGCCACTGATTTAAGAAACACATTACAGAGATACTGAGGAAAGAAAACGGGGCTATATATTTAACAACTGATAAGACTAAAATAATAACATTTAATTTGCGAAAGTTTTGAAAGTTGGTGATGCATGCAAAAAAATATTCTGCATTTTTCTTCATGGTGACCTCAAACAATAACTTGTACCCTCACCCTGTGGAAATGGTGACATCAACTCTCCAGTCAAGATGATCTAAGGAAGGAAGTCGGGGCCTGTCATTTTCTAGTTGCTCATCTATTGATGCCCTTGTGGAGCCAAACACACAAGATGCCAAATCCTCATGAAATTCTGCAGGAATTCTGAAGACAAATCCATAAAAAATATCTTACAAACAGAAAGCTGCAACAAAAGACAACACATACACTGTCTTGCAAAGTTAGAATAATGAGAATCACATTGATAAGATAAGACAAGATAGGGTACGATAAAAAGATAAGGTAAAACTTTATTGTCAAGATGCTGCTGTTTCCTCACACAAACATGCACACAGACTCTCTCTCTCTCTCTCTCCCCCTCTCTCTCTCACACACACAATACAAACACGCATACAGTCACTTAATTCAGGGGAAAAAGTAAGAAGTAAGATAAATGTACAGAAACAGCCAAGGGAGAGACAAAAAAGACCTCCCAGTGGAGCTATCAAGTCATCTGTTGACTTTTATGAAATCATGCACTATCAAATGATAAAATTACATATATAATAAGAGAATTAGAAAAAGATTGTAAACTTATGTAAACTAAATCTGAGCCAGTGACACACACCTTAAAAGCTAAATTAAACCCCCAAAAAACTGCAGCATCTTAACCCTACTTTTTTCACAAACACTTTTAATACATCTATAATATGTGTCATGACATGGCGGAATCAGGCTCTAGTTGATTTTTGGGCATGTGGAGTTCTTGGTATCATCTGAAAGCTTGTTTATTTGCCTTGCTTTCTATGAAAAAAGTGTCTATCTATCTTCTATAGAAGTTGAATATATTTGTGAGTAAAGGAGGTGAGGGTCGCCTGGTTTCAGAGGTAAAATTAACGAGAAAAAGTTTGATAACTTCAATAGCTTAAGAGTCCTTGAAAAACGAACATTTACATAACTCAGGCCTTTGAACAAAGTATTTCAATAAACTTCAAATGGAAATGTGTTTTTACAATGACATGAAAGGTGTTGAGTACAAAAACAAAAAGTCCATAAAAATTGCCAAACTGGCGAAAAAAATGCGTTTCTTGAAGGTCATTACTTTGATGAGCGCCTGATTTCACCACGCTGCCTCACATATTGTACTAGGAGGCATTGTTCTGCATAAGCAAATGATAAGCAGTCAAGTTACCAAGAAAAAGTTTTGCAGAATGGATATTTTAGGGTCTAACAAGTTAGCACCCCCCCCCTAAAAAAAAAAAATTATTAAAAAAAAAATAAAAAATTGTAGACACACTCACTGAAGCTCCTGGAGGTCCTGTATGAAATTCTGAAAGTAAATCGAAGGTCAACTGTAACAGGATACACATCAAAATATTTTCAATCCTACAGATTCACCGACAGACAGACACTCGGCGAGTAAATAGGCAAATAAAAATGGGACAAATTCAGATAGAGACAACGAGAAACACTTAACAAAGAACTTTCCAGCTAGCGAAACTTAAACTCAACATGACAAATCCTTACAGAGGACCTTTGCTGAAATCACCCACCTCAAAGTCTCTTCAAAGACTCATATTCGTATGTATTTACTCTTTAAACCCCATCGGACGCTGGGAGCATCATCGGACGCTGGGTGCGTCTGGCGGTAGTAATCCTGTTTCCCCATCGGAGGCTGGGAGTGTTCGATAGGCCTACTAGTGACAACTGTTTCGCTTCATTTAGTGCTAGTTTTTTCTTGTTTTTCGGAACTATTCCCGATATAAGTTTGAAAAGAAATGACTAAGTTCTGTTTCCGCCATTTAAAAGTTGGAGGCAAGCTTTTGGGGTTATAATAATGAGACATAGTGCACCAGGTTTAGGTGGCTGTAGAAAAAACTCTGAGAAACGGTGGTAAAAACTCAGGGTTTAAAAGAGTTAAGACACAGCAAAATATCTTTTTACTTACAAATCTGTGATTGCATCCACTCTAAGCATGCATGAAGCAGACCATTGAATTTCGTGTTTACCAAAGAAGGACAGGGGCGACCATTGAGATCCAGTTTTAAATCAAGAACTTGAGATGAAATATCTGCTCTACATATATGACTGAGATATAGTGAAATTTTTACATTAGTCCTGGTTGCTGTGGAAATTATCGACATGAAATATCCCTTAAGCCTTACTTTTTGACAAAAATTTCCCGAAACTTAACTAATCAGTAAACAATTCAAAATTAATAATTTGACAGAAAATCACCAATTTAAAAGGGCGCCACAATTGCGGGTGGGTGGAAGGGCAGGTGCCACTTTATTTGGATGGGAGTGGGTGGGGGAGGAAATTTCTTTGTTGTCTGTAAAAATTAAAGCAACAGCTTGTTGCAATATTTCTGAAAAATGTGAAATAAAAATGTATAAATGGACGGACAGGCCTTGAGCAGTATTGTACAGTCTTCAAACACAAGGCAGCCACAAACCCTAAGTAGAATGAAATAAACAACACAGCAACACCTTGGGGGATGCTTATGCTGGTGAAAAGTCAATAATTCAAGATACGCCTTTTGTAGAAATAATGAATGTAATGGTGGTTATTCTTTTCTTCAGTCTGAGGTAGTTAAGTGTTGGAAACGTTCTCTTTTTGCATAGCCAGAGGTCCACTCATTTTTAGCAATCTACACCTGTTTGGGGCAAATTTTAAAATTCTACTTAAGAATATTAAGATTGAGAAAAGATGTTTGTGTATTGGGATCTAGAGAGGGTACGCTTTGTAGATTGCCAGAACGTTTGGTTTTCTAGCCAATCAATCTGTACTGTCAACATAAAAAAGTAAGAATTTAGCTATCGTATGATCATTCCAGTGAACAACACAAATCCTGCGCCTTTTACAAGTTATTGACTTTGGACACCCCCCCCCCC